AACAGATAATTGGATGCGACTGGATAACAGACAACTACAAATGTACGACATAAGGCGACTCATGCGTGGTTATTCCGAAGAGTAGTAGTTCATTCGGTGACTCCAGTGGCGCAACGAGGGAAGTGCACGCGCGACTTACAGTGGAAAGTTCGGGCTCCTGTTTTGCCACCGCTCATCGCTGTCTCAGAGCTAGGGGTCAGCAGTGTGCCAGGGCTACCTTCTCTGCCCCAGCACAACCCACCAAAAGCGTCAGACCTATGCCGTTTCCGTCTAAACATCGCAACCCGTTCAGTTTCCGCACAGGCCTAACTCGAGCAAATACATCCCGAAACAAAACCTAAAAAGTGATAGGAAGCAGTCATTGAAGGAGAAGGGGAAGAAGAAGCGGCTCATGGGTGAGCCCGGTGGGGTAGCAGCGAGGCCACAAGGTCTCCCCGATGGGACCATTGATAGCTGCAGAGAGCGCTGCAGCGTCCGTCCGCCGAGAGTGTAACTCGGTTAGCGGTCACGACTGGCGGGAGCGCGGGCAGGACGCCATGAGGGGGGAGCGGGACTGGGCTCCTCCCTCGTCACGAACTCCTCCAACTTAAATTACGCCCGCTTTGTTGGCTGCTTTTTCCCAACCTTGCGGTCTGGCCGAGAGCACGACCCCGGTAGCCCCTCCGTGCACTCGCACGCCCCTGCGGCCGAGAAGAAAAGATCGGGACTCAAGTAATGACGAGATACCTCGACTGCCGCCGCTGCTTTGCCCAACGGTAGCAGCAGCGTGCAAGGTGCGCGCCTGCGCGGGAATTCTGGAGCGCTTCGCGCAGCGGGGTGGAGAAAGCGAGTCGAGAGAAAGGATCCAGCGTCGCTGTCTGGTGCGGCTTGGAAGAACGGAGCTATGGCGATAGGGACCGCCCGTTAACGCCGCTGCCCTGCGTAAGGGTTGGGCGGTAAGTTAAGAAACATCAGGCGTAACTTTAATGTTCGTGCTTCTTTATTCCTTCTTCGGCGTTCATATCAACTGATGCTGCAGTCTCATCGGTTGTAGAGTGATGATAAGATAATCGGGACGTGGCGTGTACTGTGCATCTTAAGGTTGCAGTAACTACAGGATAGATACGCGTGAAAGCGACACCCGATATCTACCCTAACTCGCATTGAGGACGGTGTTGGTCAGAACGGACGTTATCGATATACTCCGTACACCCTTAAGAGAAACTGAAGCAGTTTGGTAGTTTAGTAAAAACACTTAAATCGTCCACATTTGGCTTCCAGGATCGCAAATATGGAGATTATTTTTATTTTGGTGGACGGAGGCTGCAGAAACTATTCTTCAAGTACCGCCGAAGCCCCTCCATCCCGGAGCTAAAAGGAGTTTTCGGGATCTCCGCTCTGGCGCATCATCAGCGCCCAACAAAGCTGTGCACGCGCACTCTTCCTATTTTCAGAAAGGTCAGAAAAAGATGTCACGACTGATGCCTGTGGGTAGTCCCTATTAGCGGCAAGATGTTTCGTTGGCGCCCTCCTATGGTTCCCTCTCGTGACGTCATTACCTTGACAACAACTTCGATGGCGTTCTTAATGAGCATGGCGGAAACTAGAAAACATTGCGCTCTCAAAGCAACACAGCCAAAACCGTCAAAATGCAAGTTCTTAGATTACTCTTATTTCCGTCGATGCGAAATCTTTTGCTGACGCCATAGTCAGCATTCCGCCAGTCGTGGTAGGCCGACCACAGGGACACTTTCGATCCCGCCCTTCGCCTGCACGCGCTGCCCTCACGAGCAGTAGGCGCTTGGCGACCGAGAGATCCTTTTACGACATTAACAATTGGTCGGAAGTTTTTTTGTGTTTTCTCGCGTTTAGTTACATCTTTGGGGAAAACTAGCGCGATGTTCAGATTCACGATATAAAAATACACTGAAAATCACCCCTAAATCTTTTTTTTTAAAGCTGTTTTTATGGTTCTTTTTTTTTAAAGTTGAGATTGCCGGCAATGCCACAAGCACGAGAGCTCGAGGTCGCTGCTCTGAAGGTTTCTTCCGCACAGCGAGCGCTCGCGCTTGAAATGCATGTCTCAAATCCAGGAGCGCGGGCTCGCTCGCTCTTGTAGCTTTGCCTGCAATCTCAGCTTACGTGTAAACAAAGTAAAGACCTTAAGAAAAAAAAAAGGCTCCTGGCAATTCTACTTAGAAGACAAGGCCTGCGCATGACGTTTCGTTAGTAAACGCCCGACCCGCCCCAAGCGGCAAACAGGCTGAAGCTCGACGAGAGCAAGGGCCACGTCACAACTACGTCGCATTCACCGGCGGCCAGAGCTAAGCGCGAGCTGATAGCGAGCCGTGCGACACCATCAAGATTGCCCGTCTTAGCAGCCTACTAATGTGAGCTCGTTCTGCGCATGACCACTGGAGCAGACGATGAAGCGGACGATGTCGCAGACGATGTAGCAGACGATGGTGCTCATCCGGGCCACCTAGGGGGCGCTGAGGGGATCTACTAGTTAAAGCCCCTCGATATGTTTGCGTTTCTACTAGTCATGACATTTAAAGGAGGAAACGCGAAGGCCTTGTCCTCTAGTTGGTATTGCTCCCGGCCGATTTCATTTTCAGTGTTCGTGCGTATGAAGCCCGATTTGTTCGTTTTCTGAAGCGACCAACATGCGCGTGCTGGGATGAGGAGATCGCACGCTGGGCTAAAGACTTGTAAAGATTGGAATGGCGTACAGTGTGCATCATTGAAGCCTGCATTTCTAATGAATCATAATCGATTAGACGTTTCTAACACCCAAGACAGAGGCTACAAAAAGCGAACAAAGACAAGGCGTCTGAGACGTCTTGTGTTTGTCCCCTCTTTGTAGCCTCCGTCTTGGGTTTTAGAAATGTCTAACTTTAACCATCTGGCCTGCCTGATTACGTTACCTTAAATCATAATTAACTGCCTATAATTACTAAATAAAATGTAATAAATAGTTTCAAGTATTATTTCTGAATAAAGCTTCGTTGATTTCAGGGAATATGAGACTCGCCCGTCATATAGCCATTTCGAAGAGTTTCCGAAACACTCATTACATACTGTTGAATTTGCTGCATATATATATATCAATTAAGTTGCTATATTTCCACGAAAGGAAGACGCAGTAGCCAAGCACAGAACTTACCCGTTCATACGCGTTTCTTAAAAAATAAGTAATACACTCAAGAAGATCGGCGGGAAAGAAAAGAACAGGAAGTTTTCAAAGTCAACGACGGCTCTAGAATAAACAAATCAAACGGAGAGAGCATAAACTCCGGACACACCCCTGTCGCCAACGAGCGATGAAGCACCGTGAACAAAAGGCCCACGCCTGGAGACGTCCCAAAGATACACATACAAAGGAAAAAAGGATCACAGAGCCGCGAGGAACGACCGAAAGTAAAAAGACCCAACGAAGAATGGTGGCCGTATAAAGGCGAGGGAGTAATCTAAGCGAGGGACGAGGTGGGGTCAGTTCCCTAATGATAGTGATCGACCGGACTTCCACTTCTTCACACGTCGCGTACGAAACTCGGGAATTGGCAAGTAGCTAGCTGATCGAGCCAGGCCACCTCGGCCGCCTCCGCCAGTGTGGGAGAGCCGCCTGCCCGCCGTGCGTACACACACACCGCGAACACACGCGGTGATAGAACGGGGGGAGCCACAAGGTCCGGGTCGCTCTTCTTCCATCGTCGCCGCCCTTGTAATCAGCCGGCACAGCGAGCCGAAACCCCTCAGGTTTATGGACGCACTCCCATGACGTGGCTCAGCCCTCGCCAGTCACTGGCTCACGGCTCGCGTGGATGGCCATGGAACCGAAAGTGAGAGTGCGAAGAATGGGACGGCTCCTTATTGTCTTATCGCTCCGGGTGGCTGGCCCCCTTCTTTCTGATGTGGGGGTTGTCGAGGGGACAGCCCGCTTAGACTCCGAGTTAGCGCTGGAAGGGGGCACCTCGAGACCGTGAAGACGGGAAAAGACAAAGGCCCGTGGGTCGTGGTGGCGACGACGCCTTGGCCGGCTGCTGCCGTGACGGGGAGGATCTCGGGGAAGGCACGGCAAGGGGAGATTGGCCAGAGACGGAACCCGAGTGGTACCGCGGCGTGAATGACTGGCTGAAGAGGGGGGCGAATTCAGTTTATGTTTGGGTTTTGTTGTCTCCCGGACCTTTCGCGTTGGTGTGTGTGTGCGTGCTGCTATCGCGGCGGCCGTTACTTCGGAGGTGGGATTGTAGGCCTTGGCAAGTGTGCAGAGGTCATTCGCGCGCTCTTGATCGAACCGTTTTCTATCAAGGTCCGATACCGGGGCAGCGGAAACGAGGTGAGTTGGTAGAGGAGAACCGGGCGAGACGAGAAATGGAATGCCTCTACTGAGACAGGGACGGATCGATCGATCTGGCCCTGAAGCCTCGTGGATGTTTGCTGTTCTCCCTTTCGCATATCGTGTTGTTGTTGTTTTTTTGTTTTTGTGTCTTTAGAAATTTTTAGGATTCGACAAACTTCATTGTTTGGAGGCATTGATCGAGGAGTGATTGATTTAGTTGAACGTTTACGAACATGCCCAAGTCTCGATTGAGTAAGAACACGCAAGCCTCAGTTGCAAGAGTCGTGAGCACATTAGATGATCAGCAAAGAAAACAGGCTGCCTTCTTTAGCGGTGCTAACTTACACCAGAGGTTTGAAGCCCTCCTTTTCTCACAAAGAACGTGCTATATCACTAGCAGGACGAAAGCGGCGGGACGCCTGTTTAGATGCCTGACCTTCAGAACATGCACGTTGCCTTCACACGTTCTCTGGCTGTGCATGAAAATACGAGGCACCGACGTGTTATCGAAGGGAGGAAGCTGGCGCTGGAGGCAAGACAAGCAGAGGACATCCTTCCCATTCTAATGCTGTCAGTCACTACAGGTGAAAGCGTACGCATGGCACCACTGAACTTCCCGTAGGGACATCGCGAAAACGCAAGCATGTCAGAAAAGCAAGATGAGAATGTTGCAACTCACCTCAGCGTACTCCTGACAGGAATCGACGGACGCGACAAAGTGCACCACTTCGTCCACAGTCCACTTGGCCACACCCTGGGGACTCGCTTCGGCTGCGGCACAGGGCGACGCCTGGTCCGAACACACGGACCCGCACCTCAGCTTGGGCGACTTGGATGAGCCTCTGCCGTCCAGCAGCAGCCACGGTGACGTCGCCTGTTTCCTGGACGGCGACGCCGCCACCATCGCTCCGTCCACGTCCCCCTTGGAGGCAGATCTGGGACTGTCTGTGGACCGCGGTCTTTTGACGGCCGTCCCAACCGAGAGGTCCAGCGGGTCGGCCCGGGCCTGCTCACCCTCGTGGGGTCTCTTGACGGCGCCGCGGAGGTACGTCTCGAGTTGGGAGGCGCTCTGTGCGCTCGCGGTCCTCACGAGGTTCAGCAGGGTCTGAGACGACGAGAAGTCCGAGAGGTTGAAGGGCGCGCTTCCACGATGAGGCTCCTGCGACGACGGTGGAGAGGACGTGGACGTCTTGAGAGGTGGGGTCGCCCTGGGCTGCGCGGCGGGCGACGTCGTGTGGTGCGGCGTTCCGTGGTGGGTCGAAGCGTGGTTCGGGGTCGCCATCCCGGAGTCGGAGTCGCTGTGGTGGTTTCCGCTGCCGATGCCGCCGTTGTTGCCGAGACCGAGGCCCCCACCAGTGAGACTGGCGATGTTGGAGGTCGGCGTGACGGCCACGGCGTTGCTGCCCGTGCTTTGGCGGCCAGAAGTCGGGAGGGGAGGAGTGCCCGCGGCCTTGAACGGGAACGGGTGCTCGAACCCTCGAAGCAGGCCCGGGGGCGCGGCACCATTGCTGGGGCTGAAGCCGAACCTGGACAAGACAGAAGAGAAAAATCGTTTCGGCTTGTGTGCGACATGCTTCAGATACAGAGGTCGATTTCGGAGATGCACAATTCCAGCGAAAACATTCCTTCTCGCAAGATAATCCTATTACGGGAAAATATTGTATAGGAGCTGCAAGCAAGAGTACAGTTTTAATGTTTCAAGGAGTCTATTTCTACGACTTCAGACAACCTGCAAACAGTAGGTAGTCACGTGATTAGCAAGGAAACCGCGAAAAGAATTAGGCATGGAGATAAGTGACCACAAACTCAAATAAAAAAAAAAAAAAAACACAAACTGAAGGCAATTACAGCTGGCGTAAGCAAAGCAAAATAATTAATAGGTGGAGAAACAACAACCCCATGTTTCTGGTTTATAAAAGCGCTGATGACGACTTTGAAAAAAAAAAAAAAAAAGAAGACAGGCTTCATTGTTGCGCCGAAAAGCTTAGCAAATAAATGCATTAGTTTCCAGTAATGTTTCTACTGCGAAGCATTGGCATACATGCGAAAAATTGAGTAAAGATGCGGGTCGTGCACCGAGTGCACAACCTACCAATAGACACACACAGACAGAATCCCAAAAAGTGAGTCCGCAAGCGTAGAAGTACTACAAAAACAATTCAACGGGTGTAATCAAGACAAAGTGCGAGTACACCAAACCGATAAAATAGTTCCGAAAACGACGCGACTGTGATAAACGCGCCAGGGAGGTTAGGCAGGATGTTGACCTTTAGGTTCATTCCGTCGGCGCCCCTCGCTTCTCACCTACGTCTGACCGACAAGCAGACCGGGTCGTCCGGACGATGAAACGATGGATACGCTCCGAGCGGCGGCCAAACAAGAGGCTGCCCACCCGAAATCCAGCCAAACATAACAAGAACCCCAAAGAAGAAGGCGGTAGGCCAACTCTAATCAACGACGCGAGCGAGAAGAAGTAAAAGCGACGTTTCTTTCATCTCGTACCTCGTCTTATATATGCCGGGGTATTTCGACGAGTCGGGCAACAGCCGAGACCTCCGGGTGCCTCCGAGCGGCCGCCCGTAATGACTGCCAAATTGGGCACGCGTTACATTGTACGACGACCGACCGACGGGCTGACCCCAACCGGAGGTGGCGAGAAAATAAAAGGAAGCGCGGGAGGTAAGGAAGAAAATGGAGTGCGAGGAGGGCTGCAATATAAAGTGTTTCGCACCATTGCCCTCGTATATCCGCGGCGCGGGCGGCTCGTGTAACCCAAGGATGTGGGTTAACGCACTTTTTTTTTTTACTCTTTTTTTTTTTTCGGCTTTCAGACGAGTATGACGCCATTTTTGGGGTGTTCCGGAGCCGGGGGGTATACCGTGGTCAACAAGTGCTTTTTTTTTTTTTTTTTTTTTTTCAATTTCGGTGCGGAACAAAAACAAAAACAAAAAAACAAAAAAAAAAATCGCGGGAGCTCGTTTTTTTTACAGGATTTCAGCACATTATTTTTTATTAGGTGTTCTGTATTTTTCTTTACTAATGTTGGAAGGCTATTAAACATAGTTTAAGGAATATCTCGTTGAGGTTCATTGTCCACCGTTGTAAAATATGCATCTATTTTGTTAATTTGTTCGGTTAGACCATTTTCTGATACTATATATAGATAGCGACGTAGCCAATTTGTTGTTTTTAAAGAGAACGAAATATAATTTGTAGTGCTCATGTATATTGTTTCAGTGTGGCATACTAAAGAAATATTAGTTCTATATGTCATATCGGGAAATTTATACTCCTTTAAGAATACGGACGAAGAGCGTGTGGGTGCGGGTCAGGATTGAAGAAAGAATAGACATGCAACACAACACGACCTCATCTTTCAACTACAAGTGGACATATGTATGTTGCTGTTGAAAGACGTGCATGTGTTGCTCTTGTATTACATCTTAATTTTATTTTCGATTATGACCTTTAAGGAAGTATACGTCTTATAAATTAATCAAAATATAGAAATATTTATTTATTATTGTCAGTTTCTGACAAACGAGATCTTTATTATTACTGCATTAATAAGCCAGAAACTTTTTACTAGTGCCAGTTCAATTAGTGATTCCCGTCAAAATATTAAACTGTTAAAAAGCTTGAGCAGGTATTAACTTGACATTACACTTCTCTGAACTGTGTAATGGTATATTATTATTTTAATCTTCTTCGCGCACACCATAATTCGCATTCTAAGACAGTTCAGAAAAATACGAAGTACAAAACCGGAATAAAATTAATCATGTTCCACATGTAATGTTAAAGAATTTAAAAAAAAAAAAAAACACGAGTGTGCGACTGTGCATTTTAGAGAAACCCGAAGAAGACTTCGAGGGTTTTTCTTCATACCATCAGTCGTTGAAAATTGCTATTCAGCCACACGCTTCAGCAACGCATTATCAATTCGGCCAGTGGAACGCGGTGGATTCCTTTTTTTATTGGCGTTTATTCCGCTTTCTGAGGTTTACGTTCTAGTTGAGCGAAGAACACGAAGGACGGTGCTGGTAGGGTGCCTGGAAGGCGTCTCCCACTGGTTTGTTTACCGCGTCTGGAAAAGTGATCCCTCGATATCAACCACAAAAGCGTCATGCTGTCCCGGATTCGGGAGGCTGCCACGACCGCGACACTCGCGTTTGCTCCTACTTTGTTTACCGGGACCTCTTGCGCCAGCCGCCAGGATCGCAGCATTCGACAGCGCGACACTGCGGCTTCGGTGACGTCATTTGTCCCCAGGACCTACGTTTGAAGCGCGGGACGCTAAACACACTAGTCGGACTTCCGGGCAGCGTAGCACCGGGCAAGCGTTGAGAATGTCTAAAACCCAGGTCACACATCGTACAGACACCGTGTATGCGATATTATCTGCATATATATGGTGTCAGAATCATGTTTGCTTCGCCTACGCGTCGAGCTTGTGTACAAAGAGTTCTTTACGACCAAATGTGACGGAACCGCCAGGCAAGAAAGAAGCACGCTTCGAACAGTGTCCGCGGACTGTTTTTTTTTTTTTTTTTTTTTTTTAAGTACCAGCAATGATTGCGACTGTGGTGTTCGTGTTACTTTTTGTCCCGACTTTTCTCGCACCTTCTTCGGTCTGGGAATCGCTTGCAGCGGCAGCGAGGGAGCTCCAGCCCACGTGTCCTTGAGCGGTGCCTGAGAAAGCCCTCGGATTGGTCGGGTTCGCGGAGGTCATTCGAGAAGGAAGAGGGCGTGCGGAGTGGCGAAGCCGACCTTGCGTGTAGGTGGCACCGGCGGCGGCGTTTCTCGGCTGGGAATCGGTTGTTTGACCTTAGGGGAAGCAATTGTGCCGGCCCTCCTCCATTCTCACTGTCTGCCGATTCGTTCAAAAAGTCGTCTCTTTTTCTTCGTCTCTTCTTTTCTCCCTGCAAGTTGCCTAAGGTAACGCGTGAGACTGCTATCTTCAGCGGAGCCCGTTGGTTGTTGTTTGTGGAAAACCAGCGCGTGTAGGCGCTTCGAAATTACGCACGAATGTCACGCATGACCTTTGCGTCATCTGCGGACCGCGAACCGTGTTTCTCGAAAAGAAAAAAAAAAGAAAACGATAAAAAAAAGGCCTAAAATGACTCGGAGGGCGAAAAAAGAAATGTAAATATGCTGACTGGAGATTCGAAAGAGCTTTTCTTGCGTTTCGTTCCCAGATTTTTCATCGTTTTTCGAAAGTTCCACTCAAACACTTACCAGCGCAATCAGCTTTCGGATATACTTAAAGCAGTAACAACAGTGCGCTCTCTTAGCTCGCGTCTTTTTCTCCTTTTTTATTACTTTTCCTTTTTTGGGGCACTTTTTTTGCCGTAGAATAATCATGAAGCAAACCTGAAATTTGTCATTCCTCATCATAAACTTCCTAGGGGAACAAAAGATACAACAACAAAAAAAAAATCTAAAAAAAAACAGGACGCAAGCAAAGAGGGCACAGCTTATTCTAATGTATTCTATAAGAATACATTAGAAATTCAATATACCTATTGCTAAATTGCACAAGCATCAAGGAAAATACAGGGATTGGTTTCCACGTGCCACATGCGGACGCCTTTCCCGTATAAAAGATTCGAAGTAAATAACCAAAATAAAGCGTTGACGAACGCGCGTGCAAGATGCAATTTGTTTTAGGCATTTGCTTTAGAAAAGTCACTACTGCTGAGGCCAGCACGTGCAGCGCGTAGAACAGCAATCCCTGCATTCTCCTCGACGCTTGGGTAATTTAGTGATAGGTCTATTGAAACATATTGATCATTTTTGTAAAGGTAACAACGCGACCCTTGTCTCCAATAATACATGGTCAGAGTGGGTGCCCAAACAATGGCGGATTCAATGAACCGGCACCGCAGCTACCGATGGCGCGCACTTTTGGAAAGGGTCTATTCCGAGTACCATCTCTCTTTGTTGGTGACGCGGTTGGAATAATAGATCGACCGAGAAACAAAACGACGCGGCTGTGCGGTCCCCGCGAGCGACGTCCATTATACTGTCGAGCGAGCCCCGAATGGTTATCCCGGTTACGAGGATGGTTGCGGCAGATTTCACTGTGCTTCACGCGAAGTTATGCGAGCGATAGTCACCAGCTTCGGGAGAAGTCGGGTGATCTTTTTCAGTCAGCCCTGTCTGCAGATGCCCACGTCTCCACTCTGTCAAACGCTGACAGCCTAACGTCACTATAAGTGTTCGTATCTGCCGCCGGTCGGCGCTCCGTTCGCCTGTAAGCCGCAGTCGTGTACACCGTACAGAACACGGAGTGTTCCTTGTGGACGTGGTATCTGCGGGAACACCTCGATCAGGTTCCCAGCACGTTTGCTTCATGAATGCTACCAAGATGTCGGCAGACAGTTTGACCTTTGGGACCTTCATGCAAAGAAGACCTCAGACAGTGTCTACATACTGTCTCTTTGTACGATGTATTAGTGGTGTGCATGACCGCGGCTTCATAGTTTTCTCTTAGAGGGCCCGTTGTGGATTATCGGTAGTTTTA